TAAAAAAAGAAAAGTCTAGAGGGAGGCAATCCAGGGGCAGCTCTATGAAGCCAGGTGCCCAGGTCCCTTGTTTGTTCTCCGCCGTCCTTATTACGTGGCCTCGTGGGCCAAAATAGCTGCCTAAGTGCCAACCCTCACACCCACACTCCATCTGGCAGGAAGGAGGGCAGAAGCTAAGCCCCTCCCTTTAAAGACAGACACAATATTCCACTTTCCTCTCATTGGCCAGAACTCAGTCACATGGCCACACCTGCTGCAAGGGAGGCTGGGAAATGTCTTCCTACCAGGTGTCGCTGTGTGCAGCTAGAATAGCCAGTGGTCGGCGAACTGCGGCTCGCGAGCCACATGCGGCTCTTTGGCCCCTTGAGTGTGGCTCTTCCACAAAATACCACGTGCGGGCGCGTACAGTGCGATTGAAACTTCGTGGCCCATGCGCAGAAGTTGGTATTTTGTGGAAGAGCCACACTCAAGGGGCCAAAGAGCCGCATGTGGCTCGAGAGCCGCGGTTTGCCGACCACTGGGACAGGTCTCTGCCACAGATGGGGCAGACTGAGCCGAGGTAAGAACTTCTGATTCCTGAGCCCAGCACCCGGGGCTGTTGTGTGGGCCTCTGCTCCTACAGTGCTGGGAGTGAAGGAGCCATTGTTGAGCACCTACTATGGGCCATATGCTGGCCTAAGGGCTGAGCTGGTCCAGGCCAGGAGATGCTCACGGGCGAATGGGGAATGAGCTGGGAGCAGAACCAGGGCTGTCTCTGGGGAGGCTGGTTACAGGGCAGGTCCTGGAGGTACTCGGGTCCCGTTTGCAGTCCCAGCACCACGGCTCCCTGGCCAAGTGACGGCACACGCTCTGCCTCAGTCCTCCCTTCTGTGAAACTGAACCAATGAACTACAAGAATTGTTGTGGGAATGAATGGCACCGAACGCTTTCTGGGGAAGTGGTGTGTGTGTGTGTGTGTGTGTGTGTGAGAGAGTGATATGGGGAGGATCATTTGAGAATTCCACCTGGGGCCATGGGACTGAGTGCGCCCCCTGGAGGACTCCTTGGAGGAGGCAGCCTTAATCCTGAGCCTTGAAGGACAGGGTGGGACTTGGGCAGGTGAAGGTGACAACCTGGAGCTGAGGCTGGGAGTCGTCAAGGAAGCACGAGGGGCCTTGCAGGTGTTTGTTGAGTCAAGTTGAACAGAAATGATGCCATTTGCCCCCATTCCAACAGTCTCATTAGAAGCCCCGCTCTGTTTGGGAGGCCCCTGGGACGTTAGCTATAGAGGGCACCCCGCCCCCATGCCCATGGACCCCAGTCCCTCCTCCCTCTCACATCCAACTTTGTCTCTTTCTCTCCCTCTCTATTCTGATCTCCACTTCCCTCCTCTCTCCTACCTCTATTTCCCCCATTCCCATTCTCCATGCCCCTCCCCCAGTGTGGCCAAGGCTCTGTGTGTGAGGACCGTGGGGGCTCAAGCCCTGAAGCTGTTTCAGGAACACCCCATTTTCTCAGAAGTTATCTCCGACCAGGAGGCTGTAGCCGCCATTGAGAAGTTTGTGGGTATGTGCCAAGTCCTTTCGAGACCCAACCTGCTGGTTCAGGAACCAAGTGGCTGTCCTGGCCACTTGGTATGCCAGGGGATTCCATCGCTGCAGGTTTATCCACAGATCTGTCTCCCATCCCCTTCCTAGGACTCCCCATTGAATACGATGCAGTAGTAAAAATAGAAAGGCCAAAGGCACAAATGAAGAAGCCTGATAACCGGAAAGCAGGGAATCATAACTATTTTTAAATGTTCGTTCTGAGCTTCCTGGCAGCCAGGGTGAAAAGGGAAAGTATAGGCCTCAGTGATGGATTCAGAATGGGGTCTGTAACTAGGTTGGACTCTCTGGGTTCAGCCTAGGATAAGGAGGGTTACACACACACACACACACACACACACACAGTAGCACTAACGCTGCCACTTAATCTCCTGTCCCAGCAGTCAGTCTGGCTAATGACCATGGCACTCTCGCTCAGATGATGCCTCAGAACCCTTCTCACCACACTGCGCAGGCGATGACAGCCCTTCCATCCGTGTCAGCGCTAACGATGAGACCTCGCTCGGGGCTTGGGCGGTCAGGAAAGTGATGGAAGGACCTGAGTGTGGCCAGGGCTGAGCGGACTGGCTCCTCACCCCCGGGGTTTACCAATCGCCCTCCCGCTCTGTCCCCTGGCAGATGATGAGAAGATCCTGGTGGAGCCGGCCTGCGGGGCAGCCCTGGCCGCTGTCTACAGCAACGTGGTTCAGAAGCTGCAAGGAGAAGGGAAGCTTCGCACCCCGCTGTCCTCAATCGTAATCATCGTCTGTGGGGGCAGCAACATCAGTCTGGCCCAGCTGCAGGACCTCAAGAAGCAGCTGGGCATGTAGAATGCGCTGCCCAAGTGACGGTCTCCCGGCCCCGGGAGACCCCTGCCAGGGCTGGAGTGTGACCCAGCGCCTCGTTGTACATATCACGCTTGTGTCTGGTCGCGAGCCTGCGGCCAGGCCAGTCGGTGCTTGCCTGTGCCCATGAGCCCATGGGGCGGAGGGGGACATGCTTCGCAGTCGGGGCAGGGGGAGGGGCAGGTGTCAGTGGCCAGCGAGGCTGACTGACCCCCTGCTGCCTGTGTGACTGCCCTGTGACCGTCCCTCGCCACCCCTGCCAGGGCGACACGGCCCTCATGTAACATACCCGGTCCCCAGAGCAGGGTGGGCGCGAGGGACCGAGGTCACACCAGAGGCTCCCCCTGGGAGCACCGTGTGCCCACCAGGCTCTCCACCTGGGGAGGTGGACAGGCCCGCAGCCCAGGCTGAGGAACCGTCTTTATTTTACTCCCAGGAAGCCCACCCCCACCCTTACCCATTTTTCTAATGTGCACACATTTTCATTGAAAAATAAGTATTTATAACGCAAAGAGCCTTTGAGTTTCTCCATCATCACTGTCTTCCTCCCTTCCCTCCTCCCACCCCATCACGCCTGCTCCCAGCCCTGCTATCAGCAGTGAGCACCCCCAACCGCCACCTCCAGCCCCAGGAACCCTGGGGCCCCACATGAAACTCAAGACCGCCCCCCCCACCCCACCCAGCTTGCAAGCCAGAGGGCGGGAAGCTGGTGAGGGAGGTGGCGCTGAACAAGAGGGGATTGGGGTGGGGCGAGGGAGGAGTGGTTTAATCCCAGAACCACGGGGAGCAGGTAGTGAGCCCCCATCCCTGGTGGTGTGTACCCCGACACTGGACAATCATCTCAGGGGCAAGGAAGGAGTGGACGCGAAGTTAGTGTCAGGCAAACCCTCTGAAACATGAAGCCCTCTCTCAAGGAGGCGGGAGCCTCGAGGGCAGGGAGGGGCCCCATAGCCCCTCAGGAATGTCCCAGAACCCCGATAGCAGCCGCTGGCCACCTTATTGGATCCCCAAGTTCAAAGCGAAGTTGGAAGCCACTCTAATCTCTCCGGACACCAGGCCATGAGCCCAGGCTGGCAGGGTCCCCCACCCACCCCAACAACGAGCTGAGGCTGAGATTTGGGGAGGAGTGGAAAACCCGCCCTCAGCCCACACCAGCCTCAGGCCTTCCGACCTCCATGCGTGTTTTAAACACCTCAGCCCCGCGGCCCAGAATAGCCCCTGGGGATAGAGTGGAACTACATGGGGCCCAGCCCGGGAAACCTGCTCCGTGTGGGACAGCTTCCAGCTCCCACGGTCCCGCCTGGAGGGGCACGGAACCCCCACGAGGCAAGGCAGCCCCCTCTGCCCACTAGAGGATCCGAGGCGCAGGGGGCTGGGGCCAACCAGCTGCCAGACACCTGTCCATCAGGGAAGGGCAGAGGCCACAGAGGAGTAGCAGCTGCCACTGTGGAGCTGAGGACTGTGGGAAACTCCAGGGCGCAGGTGCCGAGAGAAGTGGCCTCTCTGGCAGCCTCTGCAGCGGTGGGTCCTGTCTTTGCCGGGTCAGCGGAAGCCCCAGTGGGCCACCAGGCATGACGCCCCAACCTCTGTTCACAATCACTCCAGCTACATGGCTGTCCCGCCTCCCAGAAAGCAGAGGGGCCAGAATCATGCTGGGGAGAAGCCTGGAGTGGCCCTCCCGACAGAACGGCCCTGGAGGACCCCCCATCACCAAGCCTCCCAGCCTGGACTTCCTCCAGACCATGTCTCAGCATCGTGCAGACCCGTGTTATTTACTCCTTTGACTCCCTCGCCGACGTCACCCTCCCTAGGAGCAGGGACTTTTTTGTGCCTTTAGTTATAAGGCAGCCACAGGGTCGTACACAGGCCCTGGCATGTGCTAAGTGATGGGTAAGGCTTGCTGGTGAGTGAATGCTGAGGGGGTCACAGCCACCACGGTGGCGAATCTTTACACGCCACCCCCCGAAGTGCTGCTCACATCCTCACCCCATTTCTCAGAGGAGGAACCCAGGCCCAGAGAGGTCAGGCCCCACTGCTAGCAGGAGGTGGAGACAGGATTTGAACTCAGGTCTCCGGCTCCAGGGCGGGTGCTTTCCTCTCCCAGGCACACAGCACTGGGCGAGTCTCATCTCCAGTGTGGGTTTGTGGGTATGAACAGACAGGGCGGGACCCTGCTTTGTGTTGCTCTGTACCCCACAGTAGGACTTGGGGAGCTCTTGTGGTTAACAGGTCCCAGAAAAGGACCCAGAACAAAGTAGGTGCTCAATAAACATCAGATGGATATGGGTGGGTGGATGGGTATATGGGTGGATGGATGGATGAATAAATGAATGAATGAATGAATGGGTATATGGGTGGGTGGATGGATGGATGAGTGGATGAATGGGTATATGGGTGGATGGATGGATGACTGGAAAACAGATGGATAGAGAGATGGGTGGATGGGTGATATGTAGGTGGATGGATGGGTGTGGGTGGATAGATGGGTGGATAAATATGTAGATGGACAATGGGTGGGTGGGTTGGCAAATAAATGGATAGATGGACAGACAAAAGGATGAACAGAAAGATGCAAGGAGGACAGTGCAGATCCCAGTCTTGAGAAAAGGCACGGACCCAGCCTTCCCCACTGCCCAAAAGCACAGCACAGGGCACGGCCTCTCTCATTTAATCATCACAGCCTGCGAGTTGGTACCTGCAGCAGGGGAACCGTGGGCACTGCCTGAGGCCAGGGGCACGCCCACGTTGGGGCGGGGCATGAGGCTGGAGCAGGCGTGACACTCCTGCCTGGTCCTGGAGAGAGGACCCTCGGGCCTCAGCCATAGTCGCCAGGAACTTTGGTTTGTTTGTGTTTGTGTTCGTTTCCGTCCTGGAGGAAGCTGTCCAGTGGGGACACGGCTGTTTCCCGAGGGGGCGGGGAGCTGGGGCGGGGATCGGCGCCAGCCACAGGGAACACCCAGGCCTTGGGGCTGAAACCCACGGGGCCCCCAAGACCTGGTCCCTCCGCAGGGGCAGCACGAGGGGGGGAGGAGGGGAGAGAAGCAGAGAGAACAGAGAGAGAACAGGGAAAAGAAGAAGACAGAGGCAGAGGCGGAGGAGGCAGAATGGCACTCACCCACTCCTGAGAGGGACTCAGTCCCGCGCCCCACCCAGGAGGAGGTGCCCAGATGAGCATGAACCTGGCAGACCCGGGTCCCCGCTCTGGGCACAACAGGGGGCAAAGGCCACAGACGGACCGGGCAGGAGGTCACGGCGGCGGCAGAGGCGGCCTCAGTCCCACGAGACCTTGACGGGCAAGAACTTCCAGAGGTCGGGCTGGCCCATGTGCAGCAGGCCGCCGAAGGGCGAGGTGCTCCACTGGAAAGGGGGCACCTGGTCCCACGTGGGGCCACTGGCTGCCACCAGGCGCAAGGCCTTGGCCAGGGCCATGCTGGTCACCTGGGACCCGGGGCAGAGCGATGGCTGAGTGTCGGCCCAGGCTGGGCTCCAAGCCAACCCAACCAGGGGCCCCGGCACCCACCCAGCCTGGACCACCCCAGCCCGATTCTGACCCTGACTCCGCCCTGCCCTCTGCCTCGGCCCAGCCTGCACCCCACCCCCTTCCCAGCCATCACGGTGACCGAGCCCACCCACAGCCCCGGGCCCTGGCAGACCTTGGCATCGATGCCCCCGTGGGAGCGCTGCTGCAGCGCCTGGAACGGGTAGGAGCCGTTGGCCGGGTTGAGGTCGGAGCGCGCCGAGATGGCGTTCTCCCCGTTGGGCTGCGGCCTGCAGGCCTTGCACAGTGACAGGGGGTCGTGCAGGAAGTCATTGTACCTGGATGTGGGAAGGGAGGGACCGGTCGTGCTGGGAAGGGGGTGGGGGGGTGAGGACCAAACTCCTCCAGGCAGCAGCCCCAGAACACAGTCCCTTTCAGCGAGCCACCCGCCTCCCGCTGCTGGGGTCCCTCCCCCTCCACCTCATCACCCTGCCCTCCGTCCTCCATCCTCCGAGGAGGACGCCCTCTTGTCCCACTAGAGCATTTCTGGGGCCTGACAGTCCCCGTTACGCATCCGCTCAGTGTGCTCGGTGCATCTCCACATCACGGACGGGGTGGCCCTGAGGACAGTGGGGGGCCTGCTCTGTGCCTGCGTCTCCAGTACCAAGCCCAGCGCCAGCACACGGCGCTCACGCAGCCGCAGGTCAGTGTCCCCGCCTGTAGGGGAGGCCGGCGTCGGGACTCACGCTTTGTGGGGCCGCACCCCTGCCGTGAGGTCTGAATGAGTGACAGCGAGCAGCACAGAGCGTGCCACGTGACTCCGGGCTCGCTGTCCCCCACGCACCTCATCAGCTGGATCATGGAGTCCACGTCGTGCACCAGCGACTGGTTCCGCCGGAAGATCTGGGCCCGAGGGTTCCTGTCGTAGGAGAACCAGTCCCCGTACTGGGCCACCAGGCCCGGCAGCCCACTGGCGTTGAACACGGACTCGAAGGACCTGCGGGGATGAGAGCGGTCACTCATGGCCCCCACTGACCTCGCCTGGCCGCGGCCGGGAGGCGGAGGGGCGGGCAGGACAGCAACAACAATGACCTGTTTGTGCTGCGGGGTGGCCTGGCGAGTGGCCAAGCTCAGGCTCGGGGGGGCCCAAGAGACCTGCTCCCAACCCTGGATTCATCACCACCCAGCTAGGGAGCCTTGGGAAAAGGAACTCTCTCGGGGCCTCAGTGTCGCCCTCTGTGAAATGGGAACAGGAGCTGTGGCTAGCACAGTCTAAGGACCAAACGACATCACCAGGTGAAGCCCAGTGCGGTCCCGAGGGGATGGAGGAGCAGCCAGTTAAAGGGGACCCAGCGCGGGAGCCATGGCGGGGTCAGCGCCCACGACGGCTCACCCCCATCACCCTGCAGACCAGAAGTCATACGGATGCTGACTTAAGCGCCACGCTGTACCCCACACCGCCAGGGCTTTCCGGGCCAGAGAAGGGGTGGGGTGGGTTTTTGGCTCGCAGGGCCCCTGACAGCGGGGAGAGCTGAGCGAGGGGACGGGGCAGACACAGGAGGCGAGGAGGGACGCCTACGGTATGTTGTAGCTGGCCCAGTAGGTCTTCTCGTAGAGCTCCGCGGTCTTGTCGGCCACCACCACCATGCCCCTGGGCGAGAGAGGGCAGGGCGGTGAGGAAGGGCTCCTGTGGGCTCTGCCTGCTCCAGGGCCCCAGGGGCTCCACGGCCTGCAGGCAGGTTACGCCCTGAATCTTGAGCCCCAACAGGGCTGCCTTCTCTGCCGACCTCGCCTTCCTTAGGTTTTCTCTCCCACATGCTGCAGCCTCCGGGTCTCTGCCTGGAGCCCGGCCCCTCCCCAGGGCACTCACGGGATCTGCTCCAGGATGGTGAGCACCCTGCTCCCAGGGCTGGGCCCACCCGGCACGAACGCCTTGTAGTCCACGATCATCCACTGGTTGTTGTACCTGCCGGGCGCAAGGAGGGAGGACTGAATGGAGCTTGGAGCCGCTGGGCCAGCCCCCCCTGCTCTGATAGTCAAGCCCTCGCCCACCCACGCCCACCTCCTCGACGGCCCTCCCCACTGTCCCCAAGCTCTCAAGTTCCAAAGTCTCTTCCTGTCCTTCCCCCGGGGCCTTTCCCGGGTGGAGAAGCCCGCAGAAGAGCTTCCCTCCCCAGCCTCAGTTTCCCCCGAGTGTAAAACAAGGGAGGGTGCCCGGGCTGGTGTTGCTCAGTGGCTAGAGCGGCAGTTCTCAACCTGAAGAGTCTCGGGTTCAATGCCCAGTTAAGGGCACGTGCTTGGGTTGCAGGTTCAATCCCTGGCCCTGGTCAGGGTGCGTGTGAAAGGCAATCAACCGATGAGTCTCTCTCAGATCAATGTTCTCTCTCCCCCCTCCCTTCCAGTCTCTCTAGAAAGCCATGGAAAGGTATCCTTGGGTGAGGATTAAACAACAAAGCAAAGCCCTAACTGGTTTGGCTCAGTGGATAGAGCGTCGGCCTGCGGACTGAAGGGTCCCAGGTTCGATCCCGGTCAAGGGCATGTACCTTGGTTGCGGGCACATCCCCAGTAGGAGGTGTGCAGGAGGCAGGTGATCGATGTTTCTCTCTCATCGATGTCTCTAACTCTCTATCCCTCTCCCTTCCTCTCTGTAAAAAATCAATAAAATATATTTAAAAAAAAAAAAAAAAAAACAAGGGAGGGGACCCTTGTGAGGATCGTGAAAGGGCTCTGCAGAGGGCGAGGGGCACAGAGGGTCTGAGCGTCAGGGGGAGGTTGGTCCCTCTCTCGGGGGGGAGGCCACGGCCGGAAGCCCACTCACGTTCCGCTGTTGAACCTCTTGAAGGTCTCTGCCCAGGTGTCCCCGTCCGAGGCCAGGCGGTTGGCCACGATGTTGCGCACCCACTCCATCACGCAGTCCTGGGGCTGCACCAACTTCCACAGGGACGGGTTCCTGTTGCCGATGGTGGTCTCCAGGGTCACCTGCGGGGGAGCCGAGGGGGCGGCATGAAGAGCCACCTGGCTACAGCCGGCGCATGCGGCTTCGTCGGCGCTCACGGTGACCACGTTTCAAAACCTCACGTTCCTCCCTGGGGCCGGATGGGCACTGCGGGGACTCGTGACCACACATCAGCTTTGCCCGGGACGAGCCCTGAAGAGCCCAGGGGCCGTGTCTAGGGACCCCCCAGGCGGTCGACTCTTCCCCAGAGAGTGGCAGCCGTTTCCACCCTGCCCTGCAGTTTCCCAGGGGGCTGGGGGGCTTGAGCTGCTGGCCCCCAGATGGCCTTCGTCTCCGCACTCACAGGCCTCCCGGGAAAAGGAGAGCACGGCTACTGATGGCCTGCGGGCTGCAAGGTAAACTGAGGCCAAGGAGGCTAGAGACTTGCCCAGGGTCCTGCTGGTAAGCGGGTGGTCCAAGATGCGACCCCCCACCTTCCAGCTCCCCAATCAGGGCTTGTTCCCCACAGCAGGACACTCGCATGCTTCTCCCCTTTTCATACAAAACTGACAAACAGCTAAGAGAGCAGCAGCCGTAAATGTGACCGTAAAAGAGGAATCTGCCGGCCGGTGTGGCTCAGTGGTTGAGCGTTGACCAATGCACTAAGAGGTCATTGGTTCAATTCCCAGGCAGGGCACATGCCCGGGTTGTGGGCTCGATCCCCAGTAGGGGGCGTGCAGGAGGCAGACAACTCATGATGTTTCTCTCTAATCGCTGTTTTTCTCTCTCCCTCTCCCTTCCTCTCTCTTTAAAAATCAATAAAAACATATTTTTTAAAAAAGAATAAAAGAGGAATCTGCACAGCAGGCCTGAGTTGCGATGCCCAGGCAGGGACAGCTTCTCCCCTCCCCGCACCCTCTGGCTCTTAGCAGCCACAGCCATCACCAGGGCTGAGACCAGCTCGGTCCCCAAAGCCCCACCCCCTGGGAGCGAGGGGCAGTGCGGAGTCACTTTCCTCTCTCTCCAGCAGGGGGCTCTTAACCTGGGGCAGTTCTCAGGGAGCCTGCAGACTTGGATGGGGAAACCAGTACATTTTATTTCCACTAACGTCAAACTGAATTCCCACCTCCTCCATTGTTAACACAGGCTATGCCCCACGGAGGTATGAGGGTACCTGAGCTGTCTCGGACAGAAATCACACGCTGCCCCACCAGGTGGCCATATCGTTTACGTCCCGCGTTACTTCTAAGTGACTCAGGCGGCACCTGCGCCTGCACCTTCTGCTCCAGCACAAACATTTCAGGCTGACTTAGATAACATTCTGATAAACACATTTCAACAGGACGGGTGTCCTTTCTAATCCCGCATGTTTTGGTTTACACACTTAAAACATTGCTTTGGGGTGGGGGCCACAGCTCCCAGACAGCCGAGGGGTCTGTGCACAAAGCCAGTTAAGGACCCGGATGGGAGGTAAATGTCCACCTGGACACTTTCTGGGTAACTGATTGCACCATTTCCATGTTCCCCACCTGGGACTGAGCACGGGGCTGCCCTCACCCACCGCTTGGCCCTCTCACACCTGTTTCAACTTAAGGGACTAAATCCCACGCTCCCCTCAAAAGCTAACAGAATAGAGCCCGCCCCCCTCCCACCCCCAGCGAATTGGCATCTTTAAAGCCATGTTTTTCTCCTCTGCGTGTTGCCCTGGCGATCGCAGGGCTCGCTGCCCCGGGGAGGGTGCCAGGCTCCGATTTCTAAATGTGTTTGGACCCCCTCCAGGAAAAGCCGGTAAAAACAACACCTCGTAAACATTTATTCAGAAAACCTGGCCAGGTTAGAGGGGTTTTGTGCAAAGCAAGAGAGAAGGCGGTGTTTCAGCGAGGTCGCGCGGGAGAGGGACGGCTCTCCTCGCTGAGGTCAAGGCCGTTTCCGAAGGCCCCGAGACCAGCGATTTCTGAGGAGCTGTGTTACAGTGCAGAGGCCCAGGCCGGCGGCAGGCTCAGGATGCCCAGGAGGGCCCTGCGGATCTGCATTTAAGAAGCCCCACTCTGTCCAGCCAGCGTGGCTCAGTGGTTGAGCGTTGACCCATGACCCAGGAGGTCACAGTTCGAATCCAGGTAGGGCACATGCCTGGGTTGTGGGCTGGATCCCCAGTGTGGGGCGTGCAGGAGGCAGCCAATCAATGATTCTCTCTCATCACTGATGTTTCTATCTCTCTCTCCCTCTCCCTTCCTCTCTAAAAATCAATTTTTTAAAAATATATTAAGAAAAAAAAAAGCCCACCTACCCCCCTATGGACAGGTACTAGCTTTATCAGGGGGTCACTTCGTAAGCTATATAAACGTCTCATCACTACGCTGCACACCTGAAACTAACAATGTTGTATATCAACTGCAATTGAGTAATTTTTTTAAAGGAAGCCCCGACCAGTAGTCCAAGTGCCTGCCCGCCCACCGCTGCTGTGTGAGGAGCACCCGGGGAGGACGGGGTCAGGGGAGGGAGACTCACCAGCCCGCTGCTCAGGACGTAGAAGTCATCACAGGAGAAGATGGTGCCGGGGTAGGACGAGAAGACCAGCTTGTTGCCAGGAGCCAGGGGAGAATCCTCTGTGGGGGGACAGGGCCGGAGTGGGGGTGCTGGTCAGACAAGCCCACGTGGGGGGCCCCACCCCCACCCATCCAGACTTGGGAGGGTCCCGGTGGGGAGCAGCAGGCCTCAGAGGAAGCCCCACACATTTCTTTTTTTTTTTAATTTAAATTCTTTATTGTTCAAAGTATTACATAAGTCTCCTTTTTCCCCATTGACCTCTCCCCGGCCGCCCCCACCCCCGCACACACACATTTCTTTCTGCTATTTAGCAAGCCAGGTGTGTGTGTGTATGTGTGTGTGGGTGTGTGTGAATGCTAGTAACTATATATACTGACTGTTTACTAGTACCGTTTTTAGCTTTCTTTTTTTTTTAAATGTTTTTATTGATTTTAGAGAGAGAAGAAGGGAGAGAGACAGAAACATTGATGAGAGAGAACCATCAATTGGCTGCCTCCTGCAGGCCCCTTACTGGAGATCGAGCCTGCAACCCGGGGGGCATGTGCTCTGACCCGGAATCGAACCAGTGACTTCTTGGTTCAGGGGTCAATGCTCAACCACCTGCGCCACACTGGCTGGGCTGGCTTCCCTTTTGTTTTGTTTTTTATTACCAAGACCTACTGCAAAAAATGTAATCCAGAGGGCAATACCCAGGAATCTGAGAGCATGGGCTTTGTTTGGGGGGATTCTTTTCCCCGGCTTTATCGAGATATAATTAACAAATACAAATGGTCAATATTTAAGGTACACAATGGGATGAGTTAAATCGCTGTGAAATGATGACCATAATCCAGCTAATTGGCACGTCCACCACCTCACACAGTCCCCTGTTAGTGTGTGTGGTGCGAACGCCTAAGTTCTACTCTCTTAGCAGAGTCCAAGTATAGAACAGCATTGCTAACGGGAGTCACCACCCTATGTTAGGACCCCAGAGCTTCCTCATCTTCTAACCGGAAGCTTGTACTCCCTCTTCCCCCCGCACCCCCAGCCTCTGGCAACCACCAATCTACTCTCTGCTTCTATGACTTCGACTTTTTTATATTCTCTATATAAGGGGTATCATGCAGTATTTGTCTTTTTGTGTCTGGCTTATTTCACTTAGCATACTACCCTCAAGGTCCATCCATGTTGTTGTGAATAACAGGCTTGCTTTCTTTTTTACGGCTGAATAATATTCCAGTGTGTGTGTGTGTGTGTGTGTGTGTGTGTGTTTGTACCATATTTTCTTTATCCGTTCACCCATCGATGGCCACATGGGCACTTAGGTTGTTTCCATATCTCAGTGGCTACCTCTAGGGTTGACCCTGAGGCTAGGGGTAGGGGAGGCCCTCTGGGGTACTGGGCCTTTTGACAGCAAGGTTGCATTCGTGCATTCCTCCTGTGGTTTGCAGAAATGCTGTGATTCTTTCCGTGCTTGCATCCATGCCATTGCAATGGGCTCTGCAGCTCCTCACATCGAATGGTGGGGGCTAGTCACCACCTCCGGAATCTGAGCTGGTCACCTGACTTGCTTCGAGCATCCGAATGCTCTGCCTGTTGTTTAACCAGCTCTCACGAGGCCTTCCACACTTCCCTGCCCACATGTCAGGTGAACAAGCCCGAGCTGGCCATGAAGTCCAGCTGCCCCATCATGCCAGCTGACAGCCAACCGCACGCCCAGGAATGAGGCCATGCTAGATCAGCCAGCTGGCCCCGGCTGATCCTGAAGCATCAGTGAGCCAGCCAAGATCAGCCAGGTCTGCCCCAGGACAACAAAACCACCCAGCTGACCCATAGACATGTGACCCCCTCAAAATGGTGGTTTTAAGCTTTTGTTGTTTTAAATGCGGAGGCGATTTGTTATGCAGCACTAGCTAATGAATACAGCTTGTGAAATAAACATTTCCTAAGAGGAAATTAACATGCTAAACCTACGATGAGCTCTTCGAATGGCCCTTCAGTGACCACAGAGTGCCTAAGGCCAAGGCCCACATCTCCTAGCACCCTTCCCCCACCCCTGCCCGTGTGCCCACACACAGATACACTCACAGCCACCCACCTTGGGGGCCTTCTTGGAACTGGAACCAGTACTTCTTGATGATGCGCAACATGTTCTGGTAGGAGTTCCAGGTATTGTGGGCGACCAGGAGGTCACTGTGGCCGGGCAGCAGCTTGATGAGGGCGGAGCAGGAGCCAGAGCCCAAAGTGTGCTTGGTCTTGGTCTTATTCAGGGCCAGCTCTAGGTCCTCCAGGTCCCCAGAGATCTGCAACAGGCTGAGGAGGCCGGGCACCCCACCGGGTTATGTGCCTGCTCTGAGTCTGTCACAGACCCACGTCACAGAGGAGGAAACAGCCTCTGGGGGGTTGGGGACAGGTGATCGGTCCAAGACCACGGAGCCAGGAAGTGGCACAGCCAGTACGGGGCCCAGGTCTGTCTGACTATGAGGTGTGTGCCCTCTCCCCTGCCCTGTCCACTCTGGGGTGGCACTTACAGGAAGCCCAAGGGTTTGATGGTGAACTTCCCTGTCGGGAAGGCCACGCTGCCTTCATAGCTGTCCTCTAGGCCCTTCAGCTGCAGGAGGGTCAGCCGCACCTGAGGAGGGGGCAGAGGGGGTGAGGCCTCTTCCAGGCTCACACCTTCTCCTGCCTGGGGTCCAGACAGAGCAGGAGAGGCCTAGGTGCACCGGCCAGGCTCCAGCCAGCCCTGACCCACCACCTACCTCTCCATGCCAAGCACCCTCCTGCCTTCAATTAATTAACTATGTCCCTGCCCTGTGCCAACTTCCAAATCACGCCCACTTAAGAGCCCAGCTTAAAGCCACCTCCTCCAGGAAGCCTCCCAGGGTGTTCTGAGTTTAGCTACTGGCTGTGCTGCTGCCTCAGGACACCTGTCTCATGTGGCTGACTTCTCCCCCCATCGTCACTGTCATTGTTCTGTAACCATGGGGTATCATCACTGTGTTCCCACGGGGCCTTGAACTGTGCTGGGCACATGCCAGGTACTTCGTAAGCATCTGCCAGATGGATGGTGTGTCGGTGGGTAGACAGATGAATGGATAGATGGGTGAATGGGTGGGTGGATAGATGGGTGGATGGGTGAATGGGAGGGAGGAAGAGCCTGTTCTAGTGAGGGTAGGAGCAGGTGGGTGGGCGGGTGGACAGTGAGAAATCCTGAGGGACAGGTGCACACCTGGCCCAGGTGAGGTGGAGGTGCTCACTGACACTGGCAGGCACTTCCAGAGACCGCCGTGGTGTGCGCTTCACAGTTAAACTTGAGGGGTGCCAGGGGGTCCATACATGAATGACTTCGTTAATGACCTGGCCAGCGGCCCCCAGGCACAGTGCCCTGCCTGGGTCTCTGGGCTAATCAGCAGCTCACCTGGCTCAGGAAACAACAGCCACTGCGCCCCAACTTCCTGGGTTTTCTAGTTTCCCCTTCCTTTTCTATGAAGACTTTTCTAATGCAGTCAACCCAGCGCCTCCCTTGCATGCAAGTAAAACAGCGCGCTGACAACCGTCCTCTTCTATGAAGACTTTTCTAATGCAGTCAACCCAGCCGCCTCCCTTGCATGCAAGTAAAACAGCGCGCTGACAACGCACTACAGGGACTCTGACGGCAGGAGGGCAGAATGGGCTGGAGAGAGAGGGGGAGGCCAGGAGGGACAGCTGGAGCTCCATCACGCGGATGGATGGATGGATGGATGGATGGAAGGAAGGAAGGTAGCAGGAGGGCAGAATGGGCTGGAGAGAGAGAGACAGGGAGGCCAGGAGGGACAGCTGGAGCTCCATCACGTGGATGGATGGATGGATGGAAGGATGGATGGATGGAAGGATGGAAGGAAGGACGGGTGGAGACTGGACAGATGGATGAATGGCAGGTCTATTTGGAGGGAGGGAGACAACGATGGCCACATCCAAGGGCTGGCCAGGAAGGGCGGGACCCAGGTCCCCACAGCAGACCCAACCCGCGCCCCATCCCACTGAGCACGCGGCCCCGCCCACCTGGTGCCAGTAGGTGGAGTCCTTGTTCAGCTCCACCTGCCTCTGCATCCACTCCAGGTTGGCTTCCAGGAAGCCCTTGAGCCTCTCGCAGTAACCGACCTCGTACTCGAAGGGGCCGCAGTAGTTCACCACCGTGTTCATCCAGTGCATATAGATGAGCTGCGGGGGGCGAGGCGGGCGAGGTGGGTGAGGGCAGGGCAGCGGGCTGCGCTCTCCCCTGCGGACCCCACCGGCTCCCCACTTGGGTTAAGAGTCCTCACCCAGAGCCCCGGGCCTCTGCTCACACTGGCTCCTCTCCCTGACGGCCCTTCTCGCCCGGTCAGCGCTTACCCCAAGCAGGGCCCGACGCCGGACATCTCCCTCCGCTGAAACCCGTTAGCCTTCGAAGTCTGTCCTAGATTACACACCCTGTTACCAGGACCCCCACTCTATATATGTGTTTGGCACGTGTGCCGGGGGTTGCCCACCCCTGGGCTGGGGTGTGGGGGGAAAAAGAAAGGTGACTGCTGATGTGTATGGGGTTTCTTTCTGGGGTGATAAGAATGTTCTGGAATTAGACAGTGGTGATGGCTGCACAACCTTATGAAGATACTAAAAAAACCCACTGAATCAGACATTTAAAATAGAGAGTTTTACGGCCTATGAACTGTATCTCAATATAAATGACTGATGACTGAATGAATGGGAATGGCAGGCACCACATTTAGGGTGGGGCACCTCAAGGGGAAGGGAAAACAGGGGGAATGGGTTGGGAGGGGGGCTGCAATAATGTCAGCAACATTGTAGGTTTTAGTTTGGGTGCTCACGTGATCACTATGCTTTATAACTTGGAATACATTATGTGTTTTTTGTATGCATTCAGTGGAACCTCGTGGAAACGTTTAAGGAATGCACGTGAGCCTTTCTCCCCAGCCACTCTGCACAGACCTCGGCGCCGTCCGAAGCTCCCTGGGGACACGTTGGTGGGGAGTGGGGGAGGCAGGAGCCCCGGTGTCCCCACCTGGCCTTACCTCCTCGGTCACGGCGGCCTCCACCACGCCCGCCGCGTAGGCCTGCAGGCTGTCATTGTAGTGGCCATTGGTGTGCAGCTCCAGAAAGGCCCACCTGAGAGGGAGGGGAGGGGACACGTGGTCAGCCCAGGGACAGGTGCAGAGCGGCCCTCCGCTCGGCACAGAGCTGTCCCCAGTGTTAAACCATCCCAACACCAGCGACGAACTGCCTTCAATGAGCATCTGTCTGTCTGTCCCTGTGCACTTGTCAGGCTAAACCCCTAAAAGAGAAAAGGCTGGGTCGCAGGGAACATGTATTTTTAATTTGAATGAATACTGACAAGCTGCCTCCCCCAAGAACTGAAATAACCTTCATTCCCGCCTCTGTGCCAGGCACTGTTCTAGTCACTCGCATGTCTATTAACTCGTTTTTTAAATATGTTTTTTATTGCTTTTAGAGAGAGAGAGGAAGGGAGAGGAAGAGAAAACATTGATGTGAGAGAGAAACATGGATCGGCCGCCTCCTGCGTGCTCCCCACTGGGATTGAGCCTGCAACCCGGGCATGTACCCTGACCCGGAATGGAACCGGCGACTCCGTGCACCAGGTCGACACTCAAACAACGGAGCCACACCGCCCAGGGCTATTTTCTTAATTTTACTGGTCATTTATAATTCTTTTGGTTCCTGTCCTTCACTCATTTTTCTCCGTTGTGTTTTTTTAAATCTTTTCTTATGGCTGGGTGAAATTCTCTGCATATGTATTAGCCCTTGGCTTGTCACTAATATTGGAAAAATGTTTGTGTTTTCATCGATCTTTGCTTTTGCACATAGAGGTTTCATTTTCATGCAGCCAAATCTATCAGCCTTCTCCTGGGTGGGTCTGGATTTTATCCTTGCTCAAAGACCCAAAACCAGTCCCCCAGGTGACTCCTGGAACTAGGAGGAAAACATCTAAGACAATTTCTATTAAGGCAAGGAGGGCAGCGGGAAGACACTTAGGTGACCTTGAAGAGGCCCCAGGAGGAGGCGGAGCCAGGCTCGCCAGGACTGGCAGCTGAAATGCCACCAGGAGCTCTAGGACAGGAATAGCTCTGTCCGGAGGAGAGTGTGGAGAGGAAAGACTAGCAAACCACCCCCACCACCACCTCAGCCCCGAGGCTTCCAGCAGGCCAGCCTGAGTGCCCACTGGGCACCAGACACGCAGGGTGGACAAGGATGAATGACACCCAGCTCCGGCCTTCGGAGAGCTAATGGGGGTAGTGTACACAGATAATGACATAACAGGGTGTGGATGCAAAGGGGCCACGTGCTAAGGGGAGGCCTGCATGGCAACCTTGCCAACTCAGAGACCTAAAGCAACCGCGAAGATGGCCTGGAATGAAAACTTTCCAACTAAAAGCAGTTTGTGGTGGGTACTCATGTCCTAGGCAGGGCTTTTCCCTGACAAAGGTCAACCTTCCCCGAGCCTGTCTCTTTTTGTGACTAAGATAACCTACCTAATAACATGCCTTTGGAATATCAAAGTAATTCCCCCCCCCACCCTAAAACACAGGCCCCCGCATTCTTGTCATCAGGCTAATTGTTAACTGTTAACTACCCTTTACCCGCCTGTGTCAGAGAAGTATGTGCCTATGCCTTTTACCTTTTATCCAATCCCACGTTTCCCCGCTTGGCTTTCTCCCGCCTCCCGAATCTACCACCAATGGATTTCATGGGACCCGCTGAGGTCTTCTTTGACTCTGGTGTATGAAATAAATGGTAGGACTGCCATCTTCCAGAGCATTTGCTCAATCCCTTGGGATTCTGCTTCCTGGCAATTGTCATCAGTTTGGCTCAAATAAACTGACAAAAATTCTTACAGGTTTGGACGCTTCCTATGTTGACAGAGCTCACAGCGGTTATCCACAGAAAGGAAAAAACCTCCTACATCCACCCCACCTTTCTGAACGGCTGGGATTTTTACCATGAAAAGTTCATTGCTTTTATAATAATTACCAACATTTTAAAAAGCGCGGCATGGCTTCTTTCAAGCTGGGCAGGAAGAAGGCTGCGTGGAAAGTGGCATTTCCCCTCCCCCGCCCCTGCCAGGCCGCAGTACCCCAAATATGGCGTTAGTCACTGCCTTACGCAACAGAGTGCCACCTTATCCCAAGGGCCTCTGGGGTGATTCCGTTCAGATGGCTCTTATTCATTTCGCCTGAGTCTTCAGAAAACCCAGGTGGACAGGTACCCACCTACCTTCCCAGAAGGCTCGGGTGAGGGAGGTTTTGCTCCCAGCTCCCAGCTCCTGTGCTGGAGTTGCCGGGGCTGAGCTCTGCAGATCCTTCGATTGCCTCGGGCCCTAAGCCCTAATCAGATTCCTTCTGATCCGGGGAGGTTGTCCCAGGCTCAGCACTGAGATAGGGCTGCTGTCCCCCGCCACCTACAGCAAATGTCCTAGATCTCTGATTGCAAACCTGAACTGCTGTCTCAGTCGGCACCCCCTGCCCGCCCAGCCTCAGCTCCTCGTCTGTAAAATGGGAAGGCTTGGGCGTCAGCAACTGTGCCGGTGGACAACTTTGAGAAACTCTGCCTCAATCCCTGGGCAAAACAAAAACACCCACAAGAGGGTGTTTCTAAGCTAAATGAGCCCAGTAAAGGCTGCTTTTTTTCTGGGATCATGTCCTTGCTGCTTGCTTGGTTCTTAAAATAGCTGATCCCTTATGAGATACAATTGACAGAGGTAGATAAGGATTGTTCTGTTTTGTTTTTAATGTGCTTGCCCGACAAAAATTAAAAGTTGGCAGCATGGGATCTGTGAAACCAATCTTTTTCCACACTGATTTTTTTAAAATACATTTTTATTGATTTCAGAGAGGAAGGGAGAGGGAGAGAGAAACATCAAAGATGAGAATCATTGATCGGCTGCCTCCTACAGGCCCCACACTGGGGATCGGGCCCACAACCCAGGCGTGTGCCCTGACTGGGAATCGAACCATGACTTCCTGGTTCATAGGTCAATGCTCAACCACTGAGCCACACTGACTTTGTCTGATTTTATGTCAGGGGTGGCTAGTGCCTCTGAGAAGCCAGTTGGGCAAATTCAGACCTTTTGTGTGAGATGGGCAGGGGGTCACCCCACTTCAGTGTACAGCATTCCTGGGATGCCCTCACGAGGTAGGGTGCCCACCTTATCTGTGGCTGTGACCCCTTTCTCATTCTTGAATGTGTATGTTTATCTTGCATCTCTTTTTTAAAAATATTTTTTATTTTTTACAGAGAGGGAGAGGGATAGAGAATTAGAAACATTGATCAGCTGCCTCCTGCACACCCCCCACTGGGGATGTGCCCGCAACCAAGGTACATGCCCTTGACCGGAATCGAACCTGGGACCCTTC